GGCCCTGTCTTTAAAGATATAACTTCTTGTGCTTTTAGTTGTCCCGCTATTGGCAGGTATGGGCTGGTTTCAAAACCTGTCTCAGGCTGGAAAAAATTATTTTGTTTCCTTGAAGACTTTTGAATACTGTGTATGTGAGTGATGTTCTGTACATATTTTCCTATTTTTTCCCTTCAATAATCCACAAGGCCTCACTTGTTTTGTGGCGTTTTGGGAAACCACATATTTCACGTTCTTGTGATAGAAGCCATCATTTTCCTTAGCTGGTTTTCCCTTTTTCGCCCCGTCCCAGAGCCGCGTCTTTTCCCTGTGCTCCTTTTTCCTTTCCGCCCTGTCCTCTTTCTCTCCGTTGATATCCTCTCTCTCTCTGCAGTGTTTGGCCCAGCTGGGCTTTCTCTCTCCAGGTTTGGCTTCTTTCTCTCTTTCTCCTTCTCTCTATTCCTCTTTTTCTGTGGCCCGCTCAGTCTTTTCTTTTGGAGGCACATTTCTCCGAGTGATGGCTGAAAGCGGCATGGGTATGTCAGAAATGTTTCAGTGAAAACTGTTGCTTCTTTAAAAAAAAATCAAATTCTATATATTTGACAGTAATAAGAGAGAGTCCTTTCTCTCACAAGGGCAGAAAAATTCCTTTTCACAAACCAAAAGCCCACGTGAATTTTTAAAGTTTTATCTTTGGCTTCTCGATTTTTCTTTTAAATGGGGAGAGACCTTGTCCCCCCTAGTTTCCCAGCTTTCCCTTTATTTTTCCCCTTGTCTTCTGTGATTTTCTTTTTCCGCTCACTTTTCTCACCAGCATCACTGGTTTCCTTTCCCAGCAGTTGTTTTTTCTCTCCTTCCCTTTCGCCCCTCCACTCTCCTCCTCCTGGCCTGCCGAGCCCCCTGCTCCCTCCATCCCCTGAACCCTTGCACTTGTGGGTGACTCAGCCGGGAGAAGCCTTGAGCGGCTGAGGGTTTCGTCTTGGCTCTGGTCCGGGTGCAGGGTGCAGGGCGTGCAGAGCGGGAGGGGAGAAGGGAAGGAGGCTGAGTCTAGGACAGGTAATCTTCCAACAGGAGCCTCCACTCTTTTAACAAAAGGGGGACAGTCCCCTTTTGTCTAGGGCTCCTGAGGGGCGTGTCCAGGGCCTAGAGCCACCACCACTGGTATGCAAGAGGAGGGGGCTGCAGGGGCGGGCACTCAAAGTGTTTCTAATGGAACCTGAGTGATTCTTCTCCCTGTGCCCAAGGGGAGAGGGCAACCCTGCTCCCACCCTCCCAAGCCTTCTGAATACCCTGGCTGCTCTTCCAGGAAGGCCTCCCCGCAGGAGCCAGTGGCCCTTGTGGGGACAGGGTGAGGGGAGAGCTCTGCCTGGAAACCCTCTCTGCTCACCTTCAAGGTTGTGGCCGCTGGCAGGAGAAGGACAATTGATGATTGTTCTCCCTCGAGTTACTCACCTGGGAAGGGCTCATTGTTCCTCCAGTTAAGGGAGAATTAAGGGGGCCTGCTAGGTGCTGCACGGGTCCCTGAGGCTCCATGGAGCCATTCTGCTGGCCTTCCTGGGCCACTTCTATGTCCCATCTCTTGGCCGCTCCATGGACCTTTGACCCCTTGCTCCATCCAGGAGTGAATCATGGATCTCATCCTGTTCTCCCAGCTTCCACATGGGTCCTCCACTGGCCATGTCTCCACCGCCCACCCAGTTGCGCTACCCGATCAGAGTCAACCCATGCTCAGCGCGCCTCTTCCACCCGGCGCTGCGGTCTGTGAGCCGGAGCATGCCAGGATTCTCCAGGAGGCTCCCGTTGGCCATTTTCTGTTCTGTGTCTAATATTTAGTGTAAATCAAAATATCAGAAAAACACCCCTGTGCCAAATGTAAACTCACTTGCAGTTTCTCCTGTCTCATCTCGACTTTAGAAAGTGAGATGGCTGCTCTCAAGGTGGAGGGGCAGGGTTTGGCACCTTATGGCACTCAGCTGGTGAAGCTGGTCATTAACAGGACGTTAATGATTGAATGCCACCCTGAGAGGCCTGTCCGAAGGGACACCTGTCTCTTGCTCTCTCCCTGCTGACCATTTCCCTGCGGGGTCAGCCCTGAGCTCACTTCATACAGTGAGGGCCCGGGCTGGGGTCCCAGGTGCTGGGCAGACCTTTCCCATTGTTAAGGTTCAGTGCCAGCCCAGGGCCGCCCCGTTTTGTTTTGGCGCACCCCAGGCGCTCTTCCGGGAGCCTTTCCGCCAGCATAAAGGCCACCGAGCACAGGGTTTCAGATGGGGAAGAAAGGGGCGCGAGTGAGCAGTGACCTTTTTTCTGTTGCCAGCTGAGGGCTGAGGCTCCCCTGGGGAGAGGGCAGCCCTAGGGCCCGGGGTCTGAGCCGGCTCAGGCTTTCTCTGCTCTTCCGTTCTGACTGTCCCCTCCTCATGGCTGCTCCAGGGCTTGGCTGCTCCCCAGGCCCTCCCTGAGACGGCGCTGTGGAGAGGACACTCCCGCTCCCTCCCCGGCTCACTTTCCCACCTGCCTTGGAGGAGGGCCCTGGAGCAGTGGCTCCCCCTGGGTCTGTGCTCTGTAACTTGGTTTCCTCAAGCTCGAGCCATGTTTCCTGATGGAGGCCTCTCCTTTCTGTGGTGGTGTTCCCTTTCTTAGCGCTCTCCCTTTCCTTTGGGTTTCTTATTTTATGCTCTTGCACCTTGCTCCATGCGGTTCGGGCCCTCTAGTCTGGATTGAATGGGGGACAGGTGAGTGTCCCCCTCCTCCAACCGAGAACACTAAACATGCCTCCAGTGGAGAGGGCAAAGCCAAGAAGGCAAGGAATTAAGTGAGGGGGGAGGGGCGCCGGCAGGACTTGGGTGACTGTGTTTGGAAGTCGTGTCCATCTTCCTGCCTTTGTCACTTCTCTCTGGGGTTGGCTGTTGTGTTTGTGGCTGCGTGTAGTGCTTGTCAGCGGAGTGCTGTGACAGGAGGCTATTTTAATAAACTGTTGCAGTTTCTCGAGCCGTGCTGCATCGCGTTGGCATCCCTCTTCACCACTAATGGAGCGTGCGTGGCTGGGTGTGGGCCGAGGGAGGCGGCCGAGCTCGCCTGGGGCTGGGGAGAGGGGGCCGGTGGGGGGGGGCTGGGAGTGCTCCCCCCAGCGCAGGAGCCAGACCCGGGACGAAGGGGTGGCCGCACCCTGGGCGCCGGGTCCCTGGCCTGGAAGTGCTGCTGGCATCGACACTTTCCTAGCTCTCTTTCTTCTTCTTTCTATTCATAGCACCGCAGGCTCGTGTGTATGGCTGGGGAGGAAAACTTCCACTCGCCCTTGTGCGCTCCATAAATAAAAAAAGAAATAGAACCAGAAAAAGAGAGAGTGTGCGGGCCTGAGAGAAAGAGACTGAAACCAAAACACAGAGAAGGCGCAGCTGCTCTCCCCAAGGCCTTCTGGGGCGCCGCCCGCAGCCCGCCCGCAGTCAGGCCTTTATTTATTTATTTTTCTGGCTTCAAAAAAAAAAAAAAATTCTGCATCTTCCTCAATCCTAGTTCCCCCCACCCCACCCGCCTCCAAATTTGCTGGGTGGCTGCTGCCAAATGGACCCGAGTGGGAGCCCGGAATGAAAAATTCATAACTGCTGGACTTTGCTTGTTCATTAGACGTGAACTTGTCGATTGGGCAAATTGTTTTTGGTCTCCAACTGCCGGGGGCTCTCCCCACCCTCCCGGCTCGCCCGGTTCCCTCCTCCCCTTGGACGCAGCCATTGGCTGCTGTTGGATGTCTCATTGCCAAATAGGTGGATCCTTCGCGGGCTCGCGCTCTCTCCCTCTCTCTCTCTCTCTCTCTCTCTCTCTCTCTCTCTCTGTCTCTCTCTCTCTCTCTGTCTCTCTCTCTCCCCTTCTCTCTCTCTTCCTTCCCCCCCTTTTTACAGGCTTTGGCACAAGCAAATGGATGGGGATTGAGCATGAAAGGGGAGAGAGAGAGGGAGTTTGAGAGAGAGAAAAGAGGCAAAAAAAAAAACCCAAAACCGAACCAGCACACACACACACATGCACGCATGCACGCGCGCACGCACACACACACACACACACACACACACTCACACTCGGCACTCGCACACAGCCCCATCCCATCCACGTCCTCCCTGGCTCTCTCCCCCTCTCTCTTTCTCTCCCTCACTCCCTCCCTCTCTCTCTCTCTTCTTCCCTCCCTCCCTCGCTCCCTCTCTCCCTCTCTCTCTCTTTTGCATGCGTCTGCCAGCGACGGTCTGCAGCCGGTCCGAACGCGTCCTCTTCCCGGGAATCGGCGAGCTCCCCCTTTGCCTGCGATCAGGCTCACAGGCGGAGGGAGGCAGCCCGAAGTTTACACCCCTGTGCTGCTGCCAAAGCCGAAAGCCTTTTTCTTCAGCTGCCGCTTTTCCCCCTCCAGGGTTTTGTTTTTGTTTTTGTTTTGCACGGGGGTGGGGTAGGGTGTGTTGTGTGTTGGGGGGGGTTGGGAGGTAGGTTTTGATTTTTAAATTTTGCATCTTTTTTTTTTTTAACTGGAAGAAGATGCACAGGGGGCGAAATTGAAAAGAGATTTTTTTTGGTTGGCTTTTGTTTACCTGGCATGTGTGGCAACCAGCTCGATCCCTCTCTCTGCTTGCTATCCCTGACCTTTCTTTCTTTTTGCTCCTTTTCAAAAAAAAATATTAATTTCCCCCTTCTGTGCAATGGAGCGTGGGGTGGGCAGGAGGGGGGAGGGTTTGAGAATCTACCCAAGCCCGGCCCCTATTCCCCAGAACACCAATAATAACCCCCTTTAAAACATTTACCTTCCTCCCTGCTCCTCCCCCTCCCCCTCCCCCCACCCGCCCCCAACTCACAACTCTGTTGAGTCCAGAAGCTCAGAATCGGGCGTTGGGCTTTGCCGGGTGCTTCAGATCCATGGTAATTATTTAATTTTTTCCAGTTTTATTTTTGTAAACAGAAATCAATTATTATTTAAACTTCAAACAAGCAAACAAGCAAAGAAAAAAAAAACCCCAAAAAGCGACAGCCCGGCCCTCTGTCACCTGACTGAGTGGGAAAGAGGGTGAAGGGGTCAGTGGGGACGGGGCCGCGGGCTGCCCCGTGTAGCTTTTAACCCTGATGTGGCCGAGACAACCACCTTATTTGTGCTAACAAGAAGTGTTTTGTTCCTTATGACTGTGATTAACATTAGTATCGGTGTTGATAACAAAGCTGAAATCACATATTTAGGATTTAGGTCTGATTAAAAAGATGCTGGAGTGGATGTTCCAACTGGAGCAGGAGAAAAGAGAATGAAAAGCGCCTGGAGAGGGGGAGACATCCAGTCTCCTCGCTTGCTTGTGGATGTCATGTTCTCTCTTCTTGGGGGTGGCCAAACACCGACTGGTGTCGGGGTGCCGAGGTGGCCCCCGCACGCCCCGTGTGTGCGTCCACGGGCATCTGTGCACACCGGACACCGCGCCGGGGCGAGCTGACATGAGTTTGCGGCTGCGATAGAACATGGAGATGTCATGGGCGCGACAGAGCCTGGCGGGGATACCAGCAGCGTGTGTGTGTGGACGGCAACGTTGTCTGTGCGCGCGTGTGTGAGTGAGTGAGGGAGAGAGAGAGAATAGGTGTGTGCTCAGGCTCCGGGTGCCTCTGTCTGGCTGCTGAGGCTGAGATGGGAGCAAGCGGCTGGCTAGGCTGGTGGTGGCTCCAGACCGCACTTTCCTAGAACAGTTGCAAGAGAAGATTGTCCCTGACGGGGGGAGGAGGAGGAGGAGGAGAAGGCGATTTTTCTTGTGCCCCCTTCTAACGCTTCTTTTCTCCTTTTCTCTTTCCCCCTCACCCGTCTTCCCCTCCTCCCGTCCCCCTCGCCCCGCATGCTCCCGGCTTGCCGCCTGCAGGATGAGTTCCACCCGTTCATCGAGGCGCTGCTGCCTCACGTCCGCGCCTTCTCCTACACCTGGTTTAACCTGCAGGCTCGGAAGCGCAAGTACTTCAAGAAGCACGAGAAGCGGATGTCGAAGGACGAGGAGCGGGCGGTGAAGGACGAGCTGCTGGGCGAGAAGCCCGAGATCAAGCAGAAGTGGGCATCCCGGCTGCTGGCCAAGCTGCGCAAGGACATCCGGCCCGAGTTCCGTGAGGACTTCGTGCTGACCATCACGGGCAAGAAGGCCCCCTGCTGCGTGCTCTCCAACCCCGACCAGAAGGGCAAGATCCGGCGGATTGACTGCCTGCGCCAGGCCGACAAGGTGTGGCGGCTGGACCTGGTCATGGTGATTTTGTTTAAGGGGATCCCCCTGGAAAGTACTGACGGGGAGCGGCTCTACAAGTCGCCCCAGTGCTCGAACCCCGGCCTGTGCGTGCAGCCTCATCACATTGGAGTCACAATCAAAGAACTGGATCTTTATCTGGCTTACTTTGTCCACACTCCGGGTAGGTCGCTCTCAATCCCCCCGCTTTATTTGACTTGCTGGCATTTGTTCTGTTTATTGTTCCTCTTCCTTCCCACCAATCCTCGCAGTGGGCCTAACTGGGGCGCCCGTCCTGCCTGCCGAGGCCTGCAGCACACTGATGCTCCCTCTCCCTTCTTCCGTTTCCCTCCGCCCTCTCTGTTCTTCCTCCTCTGCTCCCTGCTCCCTGCCGTGTTACCGATTTCCCTGCATCTCCATCTCTGGGGACTTAGCTTCCCCCAAAGACGCTGCAGCTCTTACAACTTGGGCCAGGGCGCCCCAGGATTATCCACGATGGTGAGAGTTTGTGCTGAATACCATCATCACCACCACCAGAAAAAGTCACTCGTTGCTCTGCTTTAAAATGAGTCAGAGGAAGTGTGGTGGGGCAGGTGCTGGCTTTCCTGCTGCTTCCCCTCCAGTCCTGTGGAAAAGCCGGCTTGGGCACAAGCGGGGTGGGCAGCAGTTGGGCAGAGAGAGGGGCGTGTGAAACCCCCGACACCAGACAGGGTGAATAGAACAGAGGAGACAAGGCAGAGGCGGGCGGATCCTGGGGCCCAGATGCCCGAGCAGGAGCGTTTTGGCTAGGATTTGGCTGTCGGCGAGCGGGAGAGGCGGTTGATTTCGTAGAGTGAAAACCTTGCGCTCTTCCCCTTCACCGCATTTCTGCCTAAGCGCTGAGACCCCCGGAGGGCTGCCCGCGCCCCGCACCTCTGCTGGGGCAGAGAGGCCCCTCACGGGCAGGGCAGGGCAGGGAGCGGCCTTGCTGGGGAGGAGGTCTTAGAGAGGCGAGCAGACGACCCCAAACTGTAAGCTCCCTCATGCTTTTGTGTTCCAAGTCGGCAGCTTTCCTCTCGGCTTTTCCCTTCTCACTCGCGTGCGGGTCGGTGGTTCCGTTCTCCTCCTCTGTTCCTTTTGGGTTTTTTCCCCCTACCCTTTCCCTTTTTATAATTTCTTTCCGCTTTTGTTTTCTTACAAATTGAAACAGAGATGGCTGGTTAATTTTTAGCCTCCACTCAGCTACGCCCAATTTACTGCCGCCTTTGAAACCTAAACGGGCGGCCTCTGTGATTAAGCAAGGCAGAAGTGTGTTTACATTATGCCCGACCAACTTGTAATGAGAGGGCGACCAAACCTTTCTGTGTGTGTGTGTGTGTGTGTGTTTTCCTTTCCACCATTCCAGTAATTTTTCCCCCTCGTTTCCCTTCTTTCTCTCTTTATGCGAATGTGAGAGAATGTGGCTTAACTTCAACTCTAGTGACGGTGCTTTCCCGCAAGTGTGCGTGCGTCTTCCTTCCTGTTCATTCACAAAAAAGAAAAGCAGCTCACTTCTTTGCTGCAGTCACCTCCTGGCCTGTTTGGGAAGTTGGGAGGAGCGGGATGACCTAATCCAGAATTGAAATTTGGGGGAGCGGACCCTGGCCTGGGATGAGCAGAGAGTGCGTGTGCTGGAGAGCTCTGCGAGGAAGAGGAGACCTGAGGCCTCTCTTCTTGCTCCTTCTCTCCTTCTGAGAGGTGGCTTTGGGAGTTGGATGGAATCAGTGGACCCACCCAGCCCCTGCCCTGAACTACCCCTGCGGATCTTTCTAGGCCTGCACCTGGCCCTGTGTGACTGTTACACCTCCGCACCAAGAATGACCAACTGCCAGTCCTCTCCCCCATTCGTCCCTTTTTTTTCTGGAAAAGAGACTAAAGACAAATTTTAAAAGTTATCTCCTCCTTCTCTGTCTACACAGCAGGTCAGAGTGGGGAGGGTATGTATGTGCCTAGTGGTGTTGGGGGTGGCTCTGGGCAGGTTTGCGTCTGGCAGATAGCTCCTCCGCGAGAGGATTCGGTACCTCCTGATTTTGGAACTAGGGGCCTCTAAGACAGAAGTCAGCCCTCATCCCCCTCCTAGCTGGCCTCCTCCTAAGCTGCTCTCTAGCTGGGTCCCTGTAGCTGGGCTGTTTCCCTGGCCTCTTTCATTTTAGGCCAGATTCTTGGCTGCTGCCAGCATGGGGTTGAGATAGGATGGAGCGTGTGTGAGGAAGGAGACCGTTTCCTGGCCAGCCTGCTGGCTCCTGGACTGACCAGGCAGGTGTCGGGAGAATGGACGTGTCCCCGCCCGCCCTCCCCCCCCCCCCCCCAGTCTATAATGAGATCATTTGCCGAGGAGTAGGAGTGAATTCATGCTCCATTGCATGTGTGCCATGAGGCCACCTCTGTCCCAGCTGAGGCCGAGTTCCTTGACCAAAGCTGAGTGGAGAACTGATAGACGAATTATAAGAAATTGTCCTAATTCATGTCCCTGCACTCCAGATAGTGTCCATAAAGGTAGGATTTTTCTTGCTGGAGTTTAATTCAAGCGTGGCTTCCTGAAGGAGGAGGGGTGAGTTGGTGTAGCATGGGCCACCAATGGGCCTTGGGTAGGTGGTCTTGAGAGGGTGCGGAGTGGGCACAGCTTCTTCTCAAGCGCCCCCATTTTGTCATAAAATGTCTTCTCCTGGCTGAGCCCCCAAACGGCGTCGATCTGACAGCATGGCCTTTTCCGTGTCCACATTTGCAGACATGCTCAGTAGGGCGCCACTTTTTCCTTCTTCCCAGTATAAACTGGGGGTGGGGGCTGGGGTGGCAAGGGCTCAGATAAGAGTTGCTTTGGACTCTAAAAGAAGTGCTTTTCTTCCTTTAAAACTGGGCTGGAGAACCTGATCTGGGCTGAGCTGGTGGTGCCGGGTTTGACGATAAGCAAACTTGACATGGTGGTAAGACTAGGGGCCTAGCTTCACCACTAGGTGCCATTGTCATCCATGGCCCTCATGGGCCCTTGTTTCGCCCCACATGAAGCTTCAAGAGGTGGCATCATGAGAAGGAATAAAGGACGCGTGGGTGACGTCAGGAGCTCCACTCACAGAATCCTAGGGCCCAAAAGGCTGCCCAGAGCGTGTGGTGTGTGTGGCCCCCATGAAGACAGCCTTCCTGATGGGAAGGCTTCTCGCTGCTGTGCGTCTGTCTGGCCCATTTAGGAGCGAAGGTTGCGGCAGAGCAGGATCAGAGAGCACTACCATGGGGAGGAGGCTGGTGATGTCCTTCCACCCAAAATGGGTGTTCCAGGGCAGGTGGCTGGAGACAGAGGGGAGTATGGGGCCAGGAGTCCTCTGCTTGTGTGACGAAGGATGGCCAAGCTGGCCCGGAAGTGCTGCTAGACTATGTCCGAAGCTTCTACAGGGCTCTGAAGGTGAAGGGTGTGCTTAGACCTTCCCTGGCCTTAGGCCTTGTCCTCAGAGAGGACAGCAATAAAACGCTTTACTGAATGGAGACTCATCTTCTCCCCGTCAGATCCCTCTCATGGGCCCCAGTGGAGGCCCACAAAGTCCCGGTATCTGCGTGGTGGCTCTTTGCTTTATCTCAGCTTTTTCATGATGGAGAAAGCCGCATGTGGAAGGAACCCCCGCCGCCAGTGCCAACAGTTGCCGACTTATGTCCAGTCTCGGTTCATCCACACCCGCCGCTGCCCACCCACGCTGGGTTGTTGAGAAGAAAATCCAGGCATCATTGCTTTTCATCTGTAAATATTTCTGTACACATCTCTAAAGATGAGGACTCTTGAAAAACATAACCGCAATAGTCCTATCACACCTAGAAATAATCGACCATTTCTTTCGTACGGTCAGATAGCCAGTCAGCGTTCACATTTCCCTAACCTGCAGATTTTGTTTGTCTGTCTGGAACAGGATGCAGATCAGGTCCCTGCCTTGCGATGGGTTGATGGTCTTTCACGACTCCTAACCTCTGGGCGTTGGTCCTCCTCCTCCACCTCCTTCATCTTGGTTTCTTTTCTGGCGGTTTTGGGTTGTTGTTGAAGGAACCAGGTGGTTTGTCAGGGGTGCGGGGGTTCCTCGTCTGGCCTCTGAGGGCTGTGCCCCCCTGGGTTGTTCACTGCGCCGCTCTGAGTGGAGACTCTGCCTCCGCCTCGCCTCCGGGTCCTGGGGTGGCTGGGCCTTACCTATCACAGGAAATGGCCTGGCACCCGTGAACTTGTTCAAGTGCAAGGTCGCCCTTCTCCGGTGTAAGAGCTTCCTAGGCTTTGCCCTCTGCTTCAGGGCTTGGGGTTTGCCGTGAGCGGTGAGTGGTGGTTTTTGGGTCCGAGGGAGGGTTTCTCGTCTGCGTCCTTCCTTGGTGTCGGAGGGCATTGTTAGCCCTGCCAAGATGAGGCCGATGCCAGCGATACCCCCCCCCCCCCCACCGCCAAGCCTGTGCTGGACACCCGGCCTGTCTAGTGGCTCTGGTTCGAGTGCGTAGAAAGGGTCACAGGAGCACCAGCTACCCTCTCAGGAGGCCAGCCCCTACTGTGGCCCCTGAGCCACTCACCCGCTGCCTCCTTTTTCCTAGGCCCAGAAATGCCACTGGTCTGTGTCTTTGAGGCAGCGCCATCTGGTGCCAGGGCCAGCAAAGACTGCAGGGCCCAGGAACCAGATTCATAAAATTAGCAAGATACAGGGATTATCTTCCAACCCAGCGGAGCGTCCGCTTTAGAACATCCCGGAAGAGATGTCACTGTTGTTCAAAGGTCAGCTTTGGTCATTGTAAAATTCTTCTGTTCATCTAACTCAGAGGATGGTTGGAGAGATTAAACTGTCTATCGGGTAAAGATACCGGCACATAGCAGGCGAGCAGGGGACGGCAGCTGCTGCCATTACTATTGTTCGGATTTTGTGAGCCCCAGGCCTTTTCCCTGTTACCTTTACCTGTCGGTCTTATTTCTGTCTTAAGGGACGATCCAGGTGAGAGCTAATTTTTCTGTAACGTGGCAGCCTGTAATACGGAAGGCAGCTGTCGTGGTTCCTTTCCACCCCTCTCCCCAGGAAGCTGTCCTTTCTCCAGGCCAAACGCTTGCCAGTCCCTCACGCTTCCCGCACTTGACACAGCTCCTCGAGCCCTTGCCGTTTTAGTCACCACCCCCTTGAGGTCCTCTTAAATTGGAGCGTTCAGAATTGAGCACGGACA